ATCCATTCTAGTTGCAGTATTGGTAGTCTATTGGCATACGATCCAAAGTCTGGAATTTTTTACATGATAACATTGTATATGGGAAAGTCCCTTTGCAGTATACACGATTCTCCTTGAAAGGATAAAAATCTGCCAAAACACATTCTGCTGTTTATGCCGTTTTTGGAGACACTAGGTCCTAAGTGTTATAGTGTAATAAGAGTGTTGAATTGAAGGAGTGTATATGTATTTCAGATGTTATATTGATAGTGTGTATGTAAAATGTTCAGTTGAATGGGTGTAAAAGACGTGTTCATTTGGAGTGTAACTCTGGTGCTCATTTAGCAGGTGCAGAGTTAAAGTTAAAAAAAGAGCAATTGCATCCAATAACTACAATCTAAAAGCTTAAATAATACGTATGGTTTTTTTCTTTTCTGAATAGCGTTGATATTAAGGCTAGTGTCCATTTGCAGGGTGGGGAGTTCAGATGTTGAATTGGCACCTCTTACACGTAAGTGTGGGTGTGTGGGTGTGTGTGTGTGTGTTGATGGGAGAGGGGTGGGGGGAGTAAATTGATTGGGTATATGGCAGCTTTCAAGGTGTTTCTGCCTAATCAAATATAAAACAGTTTGTACATTTTGAAAAAATCATCAAAAACACTTTACACTAATTTGAATAATATTATTTGTTGTTGATATATATGAGAAAATAGATTTAAAAAGTTCCAATTATGGGCCAAAAATTTATAGCCCCCCTTTATCAAACCTAATTTACATCATTAATTAATTTCTGTTGTTTAATTCCAGACTGGTAATGAATTACAAATTGAAATACCTAATAAGATCGAGGCCCATGGGTCACATGGTCAGCTGAGCATATTATGCTCAGTTTGATGAATATACATGTATTATGTAAATTATTGAATTATATTGACTTTTTCCTTGGTAAAGCCCAATTTGAAGTAGTGTGCATTAAGAGGCAAACACCTTAGTGCGGGTATTACTGTCTCATGACAGCATCTAGTTTACACATTAAATTGACTTCGATTTTTCCAGTTTTCTTGATTATGACAAAGAGTGCAGTGTCAGCGTTCTGACCAACCCTGGCACGTACCTTTTATGTTTTTTAAGGTTCAAATAACGTTAATTTCCTCCTAATTTATATTGCTTAAATAGATGGTATTCCTAATTTATACTGTTTAAATGGATGGTATTAGCTTCTAGACTATTTGTCATCCCCATATTTCATATCAGGTATTTTGTTTTGATTTATATAATATACAATAAGGTACAAGTCTGTCACAATAAACTGATTTGAATTGAAGCTCAAGCAAACATCGTTTGACTTTTTCTGTTAAGTCTTACAGAAGCTAGGTTTATCTCAGCTTACGGAAAATGACAAGTGATGTTCGATGCATTTGCATGTAAATTTTAATTTCTAAAATGCTTAATTTCATGAGGTTATAAACATCTTTATAAATGTTTCTCATAATGTACGACAAATCAATTATCTTAACGATTAAATGCCATTGCCAAGTTGACTGTTACACTATCTAATGGTTTTCAACATATCTTATGAACGGCAGTGCCCTGGCAAAATAATCCATGCGTTCCTTTCAAATATCAATCATGTATATGAAAATTTTGAGAAAATATGGAATGTCTACCTTCTGCAGTTCTCAAAATTAAAATTGCTATATAGGGACGACAGCCGGAAAGAGACAAGCTTGGCAAAGCGAACACGAAAAGTCACTCTGCTCTGCAGGCGACTCAAACATCATATTAAACTTTGACGGGTCTTCATACTTTGTTTTTCTAATGTGCATGGGTAAATAGTCTTTTTGCGTTTCATTATTCATGGAATTAGATATCAATGTTAAAAATTCATTGGGATATGATATTAAGAAGTTGGTCACGAGAACATATCCTATTTAGTACGTATGATCACATATAACTTCATATCATATCCTCGCCCAATGAAAAGTCTCGCACAATTTGCATTTTATTCGCTCGAAAGTATGATCAGCATGTCATTGAAAATTGAAATTAAATTTAATTTCGTATTGCCATATAATAGAAGACATTTGCATGTGTAAATATATATAATTGAGTCCAGAAAATGTCATCAAATTGGAATAAATAACACCATATAATACATGTATTATAATTAAAATAGAACAATTACCTGTAGATACATCTTTATTTCTCCAGTAGTTGTTACTCCAGACAACCAAACATAAAACTTGATGCAGTAAGCGTGTGATGGTGGAAATATCTTTGACGTCAACTTGGATAAAGACGTATACGCAGGATCATAGTACACATGTCCTTTAGGAATACATATATTGTAAGGTTTAACTCAAACAAATGAAATCTTCTAAAGATTAGATGTATAACTACGTGTGTCCAATTGACCAATATCAAATAACTTAATTTCTTTGCACAATCCTTAAAAGTATAAGTAACATAATTCTCTATCTATTGACCGTTAGCGTGGACGATATGAAAATAATATTTTTCGCAGAAATAAATACAAAATGTATTTCTCAGAAGACATCAACAAGAAAAGGGAATATAAATGAAACAAGAGGCCCATGGGCCACATCGCTCACCTGAGCACATGGGATAGTTAAAATACACAAATAAACTCAATATTGAAATGTTTACTTGTTTGAGGAAGGGGGTTTGAATTTTCTACTCGAGAATGTAAATACAATGTATATAGATAAAGCATACATGTATAACTTTGCCATACTTGTATAAAAAGATTTTTAAAGATTTTCCAACATATTAGTTGATCACCCATTGGGACCCCTCACAACCCCCCCCTCCCCCCGGGGGACATTATTTGAATAAATTTAAATCCTCACTACTTGTAGATGCTTACATGTCAATTTAACTTAACAATTTTTTTTCTGTTCTGGAGAAGATTTTTTTCCTTTATATTCTTATGCAAAACTTTGATCCATCAGCATGGCTACACCCTAATCCCGGAGGTCATTATTTGAACAAACCTGAATCTTATAAACCACCTGAGGATGCTTCCATTACTTCCATATAAAAACATATCATGGATTCGGTGTAATGATATGAACAAACTTGAATTAACTCTAACTGAGGATGTTTCCGTATTAATATCACCAATCATATGGCCTTGCTTATCTTGAGAAGATTTTAAAAAGATTTTTCCAACGTATTACTATGTAAAACTTTGATCAGCTATTGTGGCCTTAGGTGCCATATCTCCGGGGGTTATGATTTGAACAAACTTGAATCTACACTACCTGAGGATGCTTCCACATGAGTTGCATCTTTCCTGACCAAGTGGTTCTGGAGAAGAAGATTTTTAAAGATTTTTTCCGATTTATTCCTGTCTGAAACTTCGATCTGCCATTGTGGCCCCACCCTACCCCCGGGGGTCATGATTTGAACAAACTTGAATCTACACTTCATGTACCTAAGGATGCTTCCACATGAATTTCATTATTCCTGGCCCTGTGGTTCTGGAGAATAAGATTTATAAAAGTTGCCATTATTTTTTTGCATTAGTTCATAATTATCTCCCCTTGGACGAGGGATCGGCCCTTCATTTGAACAATCTTGAATTCCCTTCACCAAGGATACTTTGGTTGAAATTAGCTCAGTGGTTCTTGAGAAGAAGATGAAAATGTGAAAAGTTTACGACAACGACAACAACGACAGACAACGGACAAATTTTGATCAGAAAGTCTCACTTCAGCCTTCAGCTCAGGTGAGCTAAAAAAGAAAGAAAACAATTATTTGATTAGGGAATCACTGTCTAGTTAGTAGAGCATACCAGGGCATCAATGATACAATGTACTTCGAAACGTAGGATAATTTTTCGCCCGTTGTGCATAAATTATCCCACGTTTCCAACTATATCCTTGATGTCCCTGGCAAATTCTACTAACTAGACAGTGCTGCCTTATTTTCTATTTTATTCTGAAATAAAATTGTAAATTAAGATTTTAATAAAATGCATAGTAAAAGATTAAATTTCCACGAGTCCTCCCATGTCAATTTCAACAGTTCCAGCCCACTGACGTCAAACACAAAAACAGCTGCACGAGATTTCCATGCATATTAGTCCTCCTTGGCGTCAGACATAAAGAGCATACGGGATTTACATGCATATACACTAGACAAAATTGCTAACGCACCACCGATGATTCTTCCTTGTGAATTGAACATTTGCCTAAACGGTATTAGTATATATAAAAGGCCATAATATTGAATACATTGGGATTTTCAAATGTCTTGATGTCAGAACAAAACCCCGAAATGACCTTCATGCCCAAAACCAATTTCCCGACATGCATTGCGTACCTCTTTTTGCACAGATATATGCATTGCTAATTACAGATGATGGTCCTTGAGGTTACACCAGAAACAGTCTCCCAGTTAAAAAAATGAAAATAATATGCAGCGATTGACTATCATATCGCCTGCTAGTCATCTAATGCATTCGTGTCCAGACCCAGTCCACTCAACATCCGGTTGCCTCAATTTTGTGGAACGACATTCAAGTTGTGGTGTGGTGTTTACTTAATGGCTTGGCTACCTAGAGTGAGCATTTTTATGTTAACTTATCTATTTGCGACAATTTTTTTACCAGAAGAATAAATATTGTTTTCCTTGTTTTAATTTTTACATATCTTTCCAAGGGTACCCCCTGCAGACACCAAACTGTCTGTTTATCACGCTCACCTGGGATCAAATGCTGCACACTGTATATTTTTTTCTGATTTTCTAATTAGTACAAACTTAAAAAACAAAAATGCAAAGAAAAAATTAGAAAACTATCCCTCCAAATTAGTATGAACACGATTTTCACGTTTTCTATGAAATGGTCACACTTCAATTAACATTGTAGTAATTTATCAAATAAGACATTTAAATGCTTAATTTTTTAATTTTGTAACGGAATACTATATCAAATAAATCTTTAACAAGTTTTGAAAAGTAAAATATTATTTTAATTAGGTGGTGCGTTAGCAATTTTTCTAGTGTATGGTCTCCTTAACTCCTGACCTATCGCTTTGCTTACTTTGCATTCTGGTAAATTTTCAAGAAATCAACTCTTCTAACTTTCAAAGAGTTAATACTGGTATTACAGAAGAACAAATAGAAATGGAAATATGTTGAAATTAACCTGTACGTTTAAAAAAAAATAACAGATATTCAGATCAATAAAATTTGTCCCTAATGCCAAATTACTATCAATTGAATAAGTATAATATAAAATTTCGTACTTTGAACTTCTGTAACATTGTTGAATATGATGGCGTTTCTTATCACAGCTAGACTCCTTATCTAATTTAATTAAGGTCTTCCGTTTCCAACGGAAGACCTTCTACTGATTCTGTTGGTAAAGATTATTATTCTTTTTTTTTTCTTCTACTTCCTAGACGCCAACTTTGAAGCCCCATATCTCACTCATTTCTCAATTGATTTCGCTCAAATTGTCAAGATACTAAACTCTATCAGAATGTTGTCTAAAATTTCAAAAAGTCACTTCCGGTTTTGAGTTATTTCCCTTTAAACGAAAATTTATAGGCTTTCGTTTCCAGACAAAGGCTCAGAGACGGCTAAAGCTGGAGCAGAAATTGTACTGATTTTAGATAATAGAAGGATTGAAGTTGTGCACATCGGTTTTTGTTTTTCGATTTCTCTGTTCAAAATGGCGCTATACAGGGGTAAAAAATTAGAACGCCTAAAAGAGCGAAAATTTACACATATTTTGCTTTTTATCTTCTAAACTAAAAATCCCCTAAATTAAGGGATCTAGAGGGGCCAAATATCTCAAAAAGTATTGAGAATTTGTAATACGTCCAAGAAGCAAAGTTGTTCAAAATGTCAAGCTTAATCTATTGAAGTCGTCAAAATGCGTCCGGCGACGTCACTTCCGGTGAAACAGGTCAAACCGGAAGTCGTCATAAAATGCATATATTTGCTGTTCTTGACAAGTTTTTGGGTAACATATGTCACTGGAAGCATAAAATTTATTTTCCGTCCGTCAACATCACTTCCGGTCAAACCGAAAGTAGCCAAATAAAGCTTATTTTTTCAGATTTTGATGCAAAATTGAAATTATATAGTGACTGGAGACGACTTAGCTTCTTGCTTTCTTTTGTTGACGTCACTTCCGGTCAAAACAGGACGGAAGACCTTCTCGTTGCTTTGCAACGAGCTTTGCTCTAGTTATCTCCTTATTATCATTCACCGAAATAATTAGCATATCCTTACCTATCTTGCTACCAAATGTATGATCAGTGATAGCTTGATTAATAACGAAATACACTGGTGTAAATGTGCATTGTTCATCTTCGTTGTCCTCGAAATTACAATACGTTAGTCGAAATAAGTGTGTGTTTGCAGTTCCTGAAAAAGAAGGATTTTTAATGGAATAGAATTATTGTTTGAAGCAAAATATTTACATTCACCGAATATTTTCTGAAGAAAACCTTGCTGTTTAATCATTATACTAAACATATCCATTTCTTTTTTCCAGTACTTGGTATTGATATCATCTTACAATATTTCAATGTTAATTACATGTACTGCGCGTATTTATAGAAATCATTGCATAGTAAATACATGTATATTAGAAAGTAATTATATAGATTATGCAGTATTTATGTATTGTTATTATCGCAATGCCCAAGAAAATAAATACAAGTAATCATGAGTGTCAGACTGAATTCTTCAATTTTCAATAAAAATAAGATTTATGCAGTCACATTCTGTAAAATGCATAAAGGGTGCACGTGTGCGTATATCAGATGGAAAAAATATGCATCGTTTGAACTTTATTATTATGACTATTTTGAAAACTAGGAAATTTATTGATCATGAGTTATTTTCAATAAATGTAAGTTCAAATTTTGTGATTTCAATTTTTTTTCACTTATTCGTTGATATGAGATAAGTTTTTCTATTGAAAATTAAAAGACTTTTTTCTAATTTGATATTATTGTATATTTTTATGAATTTATTCTCTCTGATTTTACTTTGTTTTACAAAAGTGAAAAACAACAATTTAAGAATTACTGAAATCTATACTTCTGGTAAAATATATAAACAGGTTTATTCGTGCATTTTACTATTAAGCTTTCTATAGAAAAATAACAAAATATTACCAAGACTTCCTAAAGGCCCGCAAGTCTGTTCAATAGCATCGTCCACATCATCCTTCAGTAGATTCATCTCGGTGTTAATATCGAGTAGTTTTGTTTTCAGAGTATTGTAAGTTTTTTGAAAGGTGTGCATCGCTATACAGCTTTTCTCAATACTTGCGTCAACAGCTCCCTCGCCTCCGTTAGGAAAATAAAGAAAAACCAGCATGCAAGTAAGGAACCGCATTGTAGTATGTCTGACCCCTAGTCTGGTGTACCAAAGGGTTTCTTTCCACTTTTAATACATGTAGATCTATCTAAAATAACGCATACTATTGGACAACCCTCCAAGCACCCGATAGTCACATGTTGTTATATTGGCCAATTTCCCTAGTGCAGATTATTTGTTATCTTGATTGAATTTGAAGGTTTTTATGGTTGCATATTCCTGCCTCATTATGCAAGTTATTCTTCTATAATTTATCTCAACACGCAAAAAAAAAATTATGTCAACATTCAAAACAGAGTACTTAAATTTAATACCTGTATGTCAACATGCATTGTCATGCAACATAAATATGTTGACATGCAAGATAATAAATGAATCATTGAATATATGCTACTTCAAGACGCAATTTACTTTTGCTGACATGCAACATATTTATGTTGACATATGGCAAGATAAATATACCGGTATTTAAGTAAGACGACAAGCAGGTTGGTAAATCTTGTCGATATGTATAACGTATGTATGACGAGTTGCAACATATTTATGTTGACATGCAAGATAAGAATTCAAAAGGAAAGAACATTCATTTGGTTGCATAATTCTGACTCCCACATGCAAGATAAATTATGTAAACATGCAACTTAACATAATCACGTTTATATGTATATGCAAATTCATGTCAACGTGCTATATAGTATGCTGATATGCAAAATCCTGTAAATTACATCTTTTTTTTTAGAGAATCCAACTTTTATGGTGGCTTATTTTTGCCCCCTACATGCAAGATAAATTATGTTAACATGCAATATAATTATGTAGACATGCAACATATTTATGTCAACATGCAAGGCAATTATGTTGACATGCAAGTTACCGATCTTATAAGAAAAAATAATTTAAATATGGTTAAATTTACTTTCGAACGCTCGTATCTGACAGTATAGCTGCAAGCTTAAGATGCAACATAATTATGTAGACATGCGACTTATTTATGTCAACATGCGAGATAATTATGTTAACATGCAAGATATGTATGTTTATATGCAACTTATTTTTTTGCATCTTCACATAAATTAAGTCGCATGTTAACATAATTATCTTGCATGTGAACATAAATATCTTGCATGTCTACGTAATTATCTCGCATGTTAACATAAGTATTTAGCATGTTAACATAAAGTTCTTGCATATGTCTACATAATTATCTGGCATGTCAACATAAGTAACCCGCATCTTGTCATAATTATGTTACATCTTGCATCTACGATGTCAGATTAATAAGTACGGAAACGTATAACCGCCTCGTGTTGTTGTTCTAGAACACGATTTGATGATATAAAAATGTTGCCAAATACAATTACTTCAAGGTTTGGCGATTTAATTATGAGAACAATCTCTGATGAATAATACTTTTCTGACATGTGTTGGACGACTTATACACTTTGATATATCCAAGCTGAATTCCTAAATGTCGCACTAAAATGATGTGTAAACACTATGCCGCTTAAATTAAATATCGCAGAGTTTCGTGCAATATACTATATATGAAGATTTCGCTTAGACGACTCGATTTAATCAAAGAGCAAAATTCAACAAAATTTGAACGACATGTAACATAAGATTTATTCAAGATACAAGATTTTATCAGTCCAATTTATCACGTTTATCAGTTCCCTGAAGGAGCAAAAAAGATTTACAAACAAAAGATCTAGAAGGAGGAGGATCCAATTTATAGAACATTCATGATAATGAGAGCAATTAATAAAAATGTATGTAAGAGATATACTCAATATACATAAATGTATTGTATATGTTATAATAAAATTATAGTCAAAGGCATGAAACGGGGGAAAAAGTACATTATACTAACAAGTGATCTAAGGATGCCAGGGTCCTCATTAGTCATATGAGCCAATAAAATTGATTGTCATAAGATAAAGACTGAGTATTTTTACATTTAATTTTACGAATATTTATGAGTTCAAGTAAATATGACCTCAAACTATTAAAAATTCAAAATTAAAAGAGAAAGTTGTAAATTTTCTTTGATAATTCAATTGGAAAAAATCGAGCGTACGTCTGCACATACTCATATATTTTTTATCAAGATGTGTAGATTGATAAAATAAACGAAATAATTTGCATTTTGTCATCTTTTTTTCTAAAGATAACACACAAGCTCTTTAGTTAGTGCTGTCACAGGCACAATTTTTCCCCCAATCGTGCTTTGATTTATTTGATAAATTCAGATTTATATTATAATTTATACAAACATACATTATGAAGTTGTACTTTGAGTACAATAAAAAAGCAAATATATAAACAATTATAACACTGTAAAAACTGCTTATTCATTTTTAATTAATTCTGAGAAAAAAAATCATTTCGACAGTGTTAAATTTTAGATTTTTTTTTAATTAAATCAATTTCGGAGAATGAAAATCATGCCCGTAGCTACGGTTTTCAAAGAGTGGCTCGGGTCCTTAAAAAAGCACACACTCATCGATTTATTACAACAGTTATTATTAATAAATCTGATGTTACAAGACGTTTTAATTTTGTTGAATTTTGCTCTTTGATTAAATCGAGTCGTCTAAGCGAAATCTTCATATATGTTATATTGCATTAATTTCTGCGATATTTAATTTTAGCGACATAATTTTTACACATTATTTTAGTGCAACATTGAGGAATTCAACTTGGATATATCAAAGTGTAAAAGTCGTCTAAAATATATCAGAAAAGTATTATTCATTAGAGATTGTTGTCATAATTTAATCGCCAAACCTTTAAGTAATTGTATTTGACAACATTTTTATATCATAATATCGTGTTCTAATACAACAACACGAGGCGGTTATACGTTTCCGTATAAATAAGAGCGTCAGTGCGTGATTTTACCCATTTTAAAATCAGATTTTCTTAAAAGATTTGTAACTTGCATGTGAACATGATTATCTTGCATGTTGCCATAATTTTCTTGCATGTTGACATAATTTCTTGCATGTTAACATAATTTATATTGCATGTAGGGGGCAGAAATATGCCAACATAAACTTTATATTGGTAAACTCACTTACTAATGCCCATTATGTGACAATCTACAATTAAGATGCAACAGAATTATGTTGACATGCGACTGATTGGGTTTATCATGCGAGATAAATAAGTATGTAAACATGTAATATCTCGCATGTAAGTACAATTTGTCTTGCATGTAGGAGCAGAAATACGCCAATTAACATTCATACATATATATCTGAAACATTATTAATACTCAATACATTTAATTGCATTCCTATATTAGATGTCCACCTAAAAAGTATATATATTTTTTTTTTCAATTTTATTCAAAGAATTCCATAGCATATTCTTTTGGTTAAATTCCTCCTTTTCTTAAAAAAGAAATACTGGTATTACATTTATCATATTTTGTATGAACAACATTCATATTTTCAAAAAGAAAAAATATTTTCATGTTCGTTTATTATTCTGTATCCCTGTCAAAATCCAAAGAAAGTTGTGCAAAATAAAAATAAAACTGCACAGATTCCAAATTACGTATATGCATTAAACGTCATTGTGTAACTACATGTATATATATATATATTTAATAGTAGAATTCCTTTAATGCATGTATGGAGGATTAATCTTAGCAAAAGAGTATTTTTATCAATCGAACACAGTCAATAATTTTCGAAATATTTGTCTATTCTTATATGTCTGTATATATTTTTTAAAAAGATAAATACTGAGTAGATTAAACGATATTTGAAAAGTTTTTTTTTAAATTGCTGTGTTAACTAGGTATAATTGACAATTTAATACATTTAACAACAAAAATGTCAATCCTGATTGAAAAGTTTAAACAACACAAGTATAAAACCATTTTAAAACATCTATGTCAAAGTACGATTGGATTATTTACCATGGGGATCCTAAAAAGCTTTAAAACACACTGACCCATTTTCTATCACGAAGTTCATATACTGAAAGTCGATCATTTTAGCCATGCTGTTAGGAAAAAAACTGAAGTCTGTTGTATACGTTATTCCTAATTTGATATAAACCGTTATTAAACAGGTTAAAAATCTTTATCTTTATTTTTTTCCATTATGTTTATATGTTGATTAGATGGCTTTAAGGACGTTCGATCCTGATATTTTGAGCGTATTTCGCGCAGGTCCTTTATTCATGAAATTAAGCATCATTTTTAGGTTCAAACAATAAAACTGAATTCTACAATGCAAATTAAACTATATTCAATGAAAAAACCGCGATTAAATTCCATTCAAGTAGAATTAAGTTAGGGACTATATTTTGTGGCGGAAGGTTTTTTAGACGAAAATGATCAGTTTTTTCCATTTTAACTATAACAGTACTTTTAATTTTGGATGCCTATTTTTCCATGCTGGTTGCACACAAAGCTGTTTTTTGCAGTGAAATATGCTATGCTGGTTCTGAAATATCTATTAGATTATTTCTTATGAATTCTATCAACAAAGTGTGACAAATCTAGTAAATATATTCTGAAAATCCATGAAAAAATTGAGCCAATTTTAACGTAAAATTCACACTTTTTTAGTAATATCTGAAAATGTACATCATATACCCCCACTTTTGATGTTCTTTTATAAATATTCAAGATAATTTTGACCTATTTGCTTCAAATCAGAAAAAGTTTAAGACTTTAAAATAGTTTTCTTGCTTATTATATTTTCAATGCCGGAAAAATAAAATTTTATTAGTGCAGAAAGGTCAAATAATTGATTATGCGAAGCAATTTGAAACTTTTTCTTAATCACAATTTTTAAGTGTCTTTTTTTTAAACAGACTTACAGTTCATTTTGTTTCATGCTTTAACTGGATAAAAATATTAAAGGGAAAACGTGGAAGATGTAATTTTTAATTAAGACACAAATTTCAGTGCAGAAAGGTCATATTAAATGTACTGTAGCGCTAAAAGAAGCATATTGACCCCCATTATTTGATTTGAATTTCAATTAAGCTATGTATGTAGAAACTAAAAATATACTTGGCAAAAAAAGTTTAAGACTTTAAATATCAGGATCGAACGTCGTTAAAAAATTGTTTAAAGGGTAGGATCGAGTTGACACACAGGGGCTTGTGTACTAAGAGAAAATAAATCAGTTTAAAAAATTAGTACCTCGGAGAGAAAGTTTTTTTTTTCTCTTCGAGGTACTAATTTTTTTTAACTGATTTATTTTCTCTACACAAGCCCCGGTGGTTGACACTGACAAAGCATAAACGTTGCATTATGGGTAATTTAAATTCTTTGAACACTGTTGCTTTATGGTTGCCTGGTGGAGCTGATAAAGCATAATTATGCTCATTTTGGATTGGAAAAAAAAAAAAACAATGTACAGCTGTATATATGTAGTCAATGTGAGGTTTTGTTAACATGCAACCCTAAATACCCAAGAAATCTTTTTGGAACTCGTGGTGGGGGTTTAAGTCTCGAATTTTAGATAAGTAAAGGGGCTCACGGGCCTTTACGCTTACCTGAATACAATACAAATCATCGAGTAGACCTATCTACTTGTTTGGACTTGCCAGTGCCAATACACTACAAATCTGATTGTTCACGGAAAAGTTATTTTTTTCCTAGTTAAAAATTATGTTTTCTCTATTGGCATCTTCCAAAAATTTGATAAGTATACTTTTTTGCATGACTTATTTTGCTCTCGATTTGTTTTTAAAGATGACAGTATAGCAAATTTAGTGAAAATGGCTTTATTTCAGCCATAAAAATGATTTTTGAATATCGTTACAGATGACAATTTACCAATGGACGTTCTAACAATTTTACATTGAATATTGCCTCTTTCAAATTTGATATGTCTCTCATTAATTTAATGTTTTGTCCTAATTACTTCAATCTGTAAAATTATCTACCTTGAAATATTTAATTAGATTTAAAATTAGCCGTAAATGATATGACAAGATGGATTGTGCTTTGAGTTACTTTATTATTGTTTACTTAAAAATTAATCTTTAACTTTTGCTTGTAAATCAAATAACTCAAGTCAAATACTAGTAACTCATGTTACATGCTACTCAAGTCTGTCAATTATTAGCAATCATGTCTATAAATAGAAAATTTTGTTTATATTCGGAGAGTTAGTGTCCTTGATACTGCCCCAACCGCCGAGAAATAAAGGTCTGCAAGTTGTAAGGTGGCTTTATCTTCATTTACCAATAGTCCACCCCAGACACTGTCGTGGCTTTGAGACAAGCACATAAGTCTCAAGCGAGGGTGTGATAAAATGAATGGGTCAAGTTTCCAAGCTACATTAACTTTTATATGACAAAAAAATAAAGTTAATGTAATCTAAAAAAAATCTTGACTGTATCTTATTAAGATCAGCAAAGTCATTCAAATGACCTTAAAAAGTTAGACAAAGACAAAAACATGGAAAATATCAAGGATTTTTGAGACTTTATTTCAAAGGAGAGACTTATTCTCCAAGAATTGCTGCAGGTTGCTATTAAAATGATGGTTGAAATGAACACATTTCTCATGAGATTGTGAATGGTGAAAAAAATTAAAAAGTACCCTGAAATCTCATAAACTCCATACTAGTATTTCATATCTATCAGTTACAAAACATCCTTTCACAAAGATTCATTTTTTACAAAACATCATTCACTCAATATGGTGGTCTGTTTCTCCTTGGATTTGGTCTGTCATTTCTGGGTGGAGTGATGGCAATGTCCAGGAAATCTCCGATGACAAACTTTTTACTGGCGAGGCTAATTCCATCATCTTGGCCGCGGTGACCGGCACAGGTGGTTCCGATCTCCCGCAGTCTGTAAACTGGTGCCCTGGGATCAGGATACACAATGGCAAAATCAAAGAATGTTCCTTTCCTCCTGGCCTCTGGGTTGACCTCCTTGACCAGACTTGTCAACTCTTTCAGGGTTGCATCTAGCCTGTTCACGAAACAAACATGAGGACTAAATTAGTTTTTTTTCCTTGTAAAAATTGTTTTTTCAGTATAACAAACAGTCCAGTCCAATACGATAAATCGTAATGTTACGAAATATAGTAATATTACAAGAAATCGTAATATTACAAAATATCGTAATATTATTCCTATATTACTATTTTTCGTAATATAGTTAAATTACGGAAACTCGTAATATAGCAAGTTGAGAGAGACTATATTACGAGTTTTCGTAATGCAAGACAAAATAAAGCATTGAAAGAAACTGAATGATGTTTATGGAAGTATGACGTCAGAAATATATTATGCCCCAATGGTACTAGTATCACGTGGTCATTTTGGTCAGTGACGTCTATCGAAAAGTATGGAAATGCAAGAAGAAAGTAACAATGGTAATGGGTGAGTGAACATTTTGTTTTATTATTCTTATATAAGAATTTTCCCAAGGATAGGAACAATTTTCCATAAAATTTCAATGTATCCTCAAGCTTGTCACAATGGTCCATAATCCCCGAATTCCCTATATTTTTCCCGAAGTCTACCCTGAAAATCAGACCCTCATCTCAAACAACGAGATTTTATGAGAGATAACTTGTAAGACTCTCACTAGGCTCTGAATCCGCTTGCACTTGGATCAAATGCACCAAAACAAAGAAAATGCACTAACCATACATATCCACGATATCATAATGATGAAACCAGAGACCAATAATCTCTGATGAAACATAACAAAGAGGTTGTATAAGAAAAAAGGGAAGTAACTCTTAGAAGAGTTAGAAATCGCTTATATTACGAATTTTAGTAATATTACGATTTTTCGTATTGGACTGGACTGACAAAGGCATACCGGTAGATAAAAATGAGTTAATTTGTTTTTTTTTAAGATCTGTCAGTCACAGAGATGATTCTAGGATTTATACTAACCCTTATGTGTAATATAGCTTACGTCCTTTGTGTCAGACTTGTTATGTGTAGATCTGAAGTTCATTAGCTGGGGTCTGTCCCCTGTGTCTCACCATGTATAAATCTGAAGTTAATTAGCTGGGGTATGTCCACTATGACTTACCACATGTAGATCTGATTTTTATTAGCTGGGGGGGGGGGGGGGGTGTTCTGTCCCCTGTGACTTACCATGTATAGATCTGAAGTTCATTTGCTGGAGTCTGTCCCCTGTGGTAGTCACTCATTGGATTATGGCGTCCTAGATTGTTGAAGACTCTTAGAAGAAGGGGACAGGTCTGAAATCATATGGTAAACAAACATAATTCTTTTTTCATGTTTATTTATGCTTCTTAAGATTGGTTTGTCTAAGAGTGTGAAATTTATTGACTCCCAAAAGTAATGGTTTTCAGAAAGATTTAGCTGAATTTAATAGGAACAGTTGGCTAGCATCAATAAAAGTGTACATGTAACACAAGAGAATTAGCTTCTCTTTAATGTTTGTTAGTATATATGTGGTTTACAGAATGTTAGGAAAGACATTTCACTAGTTCTTCTGTGCATATGTGTCCATAAAATTAAACAAGAGGCCCTGGGGCCACAGCACTCACCTGAGCACATCGGGCTTGAATTTACCCCCCCCCCCCTTTCCAGGCGTTCATCATTTGAACAAACTAGAATCTACACTACCTGAGGATGATTCCATATAAATACCCCGGGTATCACTAATCATAGCTTTGAAGTACTTGAAAAGAAGATTTTAAAAGGTTTCCCAATATTTCCCTATGTAAAACTTGGGTCGGCCATTTTGGCCCCACCATATGATATTCCAAGGGCAGGGGGTCATGATTTGAAAGAACTTGAATCTACACTACCTGAGGATGTTTCCACATGAATTTCATCTTTCCTGGCCCAGTGGTAATTGAGAAGGATTTTTAAAGATGTTTCCTATATATTCCTATGTAAAACTTGGGTCGGCCATCTTGGCCCCATCCTTGCCCCGGGGGTCATGATTTGAACAAACTTGAATCTACGCTACCTAAGGATGATTCCACATGAGTTTCATCTTTCCTGGATGGAGTAGAAGATTTTTAAAGATTTTTCTTATATATTCCTATGTTAAAATAGGATCAGCCATTTTGACCCCATCCTTGCCCCTGGGGTCATGATTTGAACAAACTTGAATCTACACTACCTAAGGATGATTCCACATGAGTTTCATCTTTCCTGGCCCAGTGGTTCTGGAGAAGGAAGATTTTTAAAGATTTTTCCTATATATTCCTATGTAAAACTTGGGTCGGCCATTTTGTCCCCACCCTTGCCCCGGGGGTCATGATTTGAACAAACTTGAATCTACACTACCTGAGGATGCTTCCACATGAGTTTCATCTTTCCTGGCCTAGCGGTTCTGGAGAAGAAGATTTTTTAAAAATGCCATTAATTTTTAACAAATTCATGATTATCTCCCCTTGGAAATGGGCGTGGCCCTTCATTTGAACAAACTTGAATCCCCTTTACCCAAGGATAATTTGTGCCAAGTTTGGTTGAAATTGGCCCAGTGGTTCTTGAGAAGAAGATGAAAATGTGAAAAGTTTACAACGACTACGACGACAACGACGACGACAGACAACGGACAAATTTTGATCAGAAAAGCTTACTTGAGCCTTCAGCTCAGGTGAGCTAATTAATCTTGCAGTACATTCAACAAGACATTGTCCCATGCTTAATGGCAGACATGGATCCAGGGATTGAAGTTAAAAAGTAGGCAGAGGGTCAAGGTGATTTATTCTGGAAGGGGGCCCAGGGGGTGACCCCTCATGAGCTCCTTGATTCTAGATGTTTGTCAAGTAAAAATAAGGTCAACCGAGTAGCTATTTTTTTTCACATTTTATTGACAAAGGTAGGATTTAGGTGAACTTAATTACTTTGACAAATTTAGGGGCTCTCACCATGGTCACTGCCGGATGCGTATGGCCCCCCTTAAACCTGCCTCTGAATGGTCATTTTCTCTGTCCACCTAGTTAGAATAATCTAAACGTGTCTCGGTACTGTAAGCCCTCACCGGGTCCGTAGGACAATATCAGAATAAGAACTTTCTATCTATGTCCACCATGAAGGATATTTGAATGAGCTCATCTGCAAAGTACTTTCCTAATCAGTCTAGACGAACTCCAAAAACGGCGTGAACTCCAAAAAAGAAGTCTTTGGCTCCGTCATGCATTGCGGCGAAATGGCTTCCGGTGTAAACAAACGATGGATTGTCGTTCGCTTTATCCACAAATACGACCGATTTATGGCTGTGTTTAGTATTCTGTGACTGGATTTTAATTTTTGTTGAATAAATAATTGCACTTATTAAATTATTTAGTGGTTATTGACTTATTTATTGCTTCGTATTCCTGAAATAGTGATTTAGGATATACGACATCGGATTCAATACAGTCGGTAAGAATTATAATTTCTTTAATTAATTTATTGTCTCTTTGATTAAGATTTTATGCCATTCCTACAATAAAGATGTTTAAATTTCACTTTCAAGACACTTAGGTCGTATTTATTTTATTAAAAAAAAAACGCACAATTTTCGCGGCGGAGCAGAGATACTAACAGGTACGTTCGTTTTGAGACGACTATTTTACCGTAATTTTAAAAGAGTGATTTGTTCAAAGATTATAGTTCTAAAAAATGTTTTCATGATAATATATGTTCATATGTTAGGCTGTTTAAAGTTAATTCTACGTTTAACGTCACATCTCAAGTTCAAAACCTACGAGGGAGGGAGGAAAAAAATAAACAAACAAAATTTTCAAACAATTGTGAATTTATTCAAATTAACCTATTCAGTACATTAAAAACATTATAATTAAGTAATATGAGCATTTAATTGATATGACACCTAAGATTAATTTTCCTAGCAGAGTTTTTCCTTAGTGTGTAAATCAGTTTGAGTCCTATTCTTAGCAAAAAATGTAGTCTAAGACTGAATGTGCAGGAAAGTGGCTTTTAACTAGGCCTCAGTTGTCCTTTGGATTTATATTGCCACATGTCCATAGTACCCTGGAGGCAATTGCTTCTTCTTGTGGGAATTGTTGCTCAATATCTACAATTAGAATTATTGATGACAATATTTAAAACTGTTCATGTTGAAATATCCTCAAATTGAATTATGTCATATTTTTTCTTAGTACTAGACCTAGTAGCATTAAGTTTTGAAAGTGTGAATACTAATATTTGGACCATACTGATAGCTGTTAGATTATCTTTAATACCTTGAATTCCACACAAAAGACAGGATTCTTTACGTCTTGGAATACCTCAAACCACTTTCCTTACTCTCCTTCACTTGAAAGGCCCTATCTTCGGTAAGCTTCTCCCTGCTCGAATGGTTAAGACAAGTATTATCTTTTCCAAAAATTGTAGCTATTTGTACATGAATTATGAAGAAATCAATTATCTTACTCATTACTGTTCCTTTCGATTTTTACAGACATATTTTTTTAATATTAAATAAATTAAATAAGGTTTAAATGATGCTTTTCACTGTATATAAATATTGGTTTTTGACACACTTTCCACTCAGTAAAAAAGTTTTTCGATTCTCTCCAAAATACAATGAAAAGTTCAGCCAATAATCACGAACTGAGAGTCTGTCAGTCTGTACGTGATTCGAAGACTGACAAAAATAAAAAAAAAAGTAGACTTTGTCATTAACTTCAATAATAAAATCATCTATTTTTTACTTACATTTATGGTCCCAAGCTCTTTAATTCACTAGTTTTCTTTAATAAAACACCAACTGCCTTTACTGCGGCTATCAAAGCACATTTTCTGTCACTACGGGAAGCAGAATTTAGTCGCTAATTGTAGAACCAAACCGGAACGGACATACGGAATTCCGAATTGTTTGTTTTTTTCAAAGACGAATTTCTCATAAACCTACGCGCGCGGGTGACGTTAAACATAGTTTTAATTTTAGACAGCCTAATAAAACACCAACTGCCTTTACTGCGGCTATCAAAGCACATTTTCTGTCACTACGGGAAGCAGAATTTAGTCGCTAATTGTAGAACCAAACCGGAACGGACATACGGAATTCCGAATTGTTTGTTTTTTTCAAAGACGAATTTCTCATAAACCTACGCGCGCGGGTGACGTTAAACATAGTTTTAATTTTAGACAGCCTTATAACAATAAGGTGAATATCGATGGCGATAACTCACGCTCTCAATTCAGATGCCGTACATGATTTCATGACGAAATAATATTATGAATGGGTAAAATTCAGTCAATATTAAACAGTTACAATATATATTATTCAGTTTTACATATTTTTCCTACTTTTGTACTTATTAAAGATTTATTGGTAAGATGTATTTACAATGTGGTTGCTCATTGCTGCCCTAAACGTGCTAATTTCATTCGTACACGATAGGCATGAAAGATAGAGGAAATTCGAGCAACTGAAAATTCGCCAGCGTCTCTTACTCACAAAAACACTTCTAGAATCGGTTAAAGTAGTCATAAATGACTAACTTAGTTACTGCAAACAAATTATCAATCACAGAAATGTTTTAATAAGATTTAGACCGTTTAATTTGTATTCTGTGTCCTACTTGTACGAGGTCTGGCTGAAGCTCGAAGTTGGTCAACTTTGACTTAAAATTAAAAACTATTTGCACATGAAATCAAAAATCTAACAAATACGTTCTCTAGAGACATTTATTATAAATCATTTCTGAGAACTTACATTATTGTAAGGTAATCCAATTTTTTGCAAAAGCAATTTTTGTAAGAGCCCACTTTTCACCGTTTTTTGATATAACTTAGCTGCAGATCTGTAGCTCTCCGAAAAAAAAAATGTTGATAGACCGGAGAGCTACAGTGCCACCCATTGAAAAAACTGTATATTTATTGCGCACAAAAAGTGCGCTTGGTTGTTGATTAATTCTTCCAAATTCTTACCTAAATTGCATAAACTGGAAGATTAAAAAAAATCCTCTTTCCTCTATCAAGTACTTTTGTAGTTGACATCTGAACGAAGCATATTGGACCGAATTATCCTTGAAACCAAAATGGCAGTATAAATAAGCGAAATGTTCGATGATTACAATATCAGGGCCAGGAGGACTATTAACAACAATTATAAGGAATGTTTTATTGTGGAAAGAGTCAAAGAATATGTTAACAACACACGGTTAGTAATATTTTCAGATTACAGTTTAAAAACATGGAGAAATAAACCGAGAACCGAGCGCACTTTTTCGTGTGCAATAAATATACAGTTTTTTAATGGGTGGCACTGTAGCTCTCCGGTCTATCAACATTTTTTTTTTTTCGGAGAGCCACAGATCTGCAGCTAGATATAACTGCGCATGCGTGGGACTCGTTTTTTGGAGTTTTTTCTGGACTGAAATTCTCACTTCCGTTAACGCCGTTTTTGGAGTTCGTCTAGACTGCTAATTTCTCATTCTTTTCAAACTGAGGTAATCATTAAAATTCTGTGGAATCACAATTTGATTCAAACTTGAGATTAAAATTTATGCAGATTTCTTCCAGTTTTTTAAAGGTTTTTTTTTTTAAGGTCCTAAAAACAACGTCTATGTCTTTCCACTTTTCAATTTGTTCATTTATTGGGGAAATAGTGATAGGCTTATAATTTTAATGAAAATGGGGGAAAAATGCATAAAAACATTTGGATACATGTAACGTTCAGACGTTAGCTTGTGTAGAGCTGTAGAGTTGAAAAGAAGTCTTTCACATGCTGCACAGCGTTGGACTTTTTACTGATGAAAGGCAGAATACAAGTCTGATTGAAAAACACACGTTTAGAATGTTACCTTTTCTCTATCAACCGGCTTTTCCGGTTCTCTTTGCTCTTCAACAACCATAGACTCAACCGTGGCCATGTTTACTTTCTGATTAAAGCGTCCAAATGACTGTGAGCGAGAACGCATACTCGAAATATTTGATGAACGAGTCTCCTAAGCATTCATTCATTTCCGGAAATGATTTCAAGATGGAGAAATTTGTTTTGTTTATGTTTTTAAAAATATCATTTATAGCAGGTTAGTCTTATTAAAGTTAACATATGTAACTTTTATGGATTGCCCCTTTCCAGTGCATATGTTATATCTTCCTATTTTGAAAGACATATTAGGTATTGGCTTAAAAAAAAAATTAATGAGGAGGGTTCTTCTAATGTCAGGGCAAGGAATCAGTGCTGACTTTTACCTATGTTCGTATGTAACCTTGTTACAAGACTATGCTATTCAGTAACAAAGGTTACGTATATATCTCTAAATAGATTCTACTTTTAAAAAAAAAAATCTTGCCAAATATGGGTTGTTCACTATGCCCAGAGGCCTGAAGTTAATGTTTACCATTTTAAAAAATGTATCATGTTTTATGCCTGTTTTAGGGGACATCATTTTGCAAACAGATGAGTTTTGTTCTGTCTGTTATGAAGAGTATTGTAGAAACCCAGCATATTATCGAACCAAGTACAACTTTCAGAACAGCATAGATGGATATGAGGATGTGAGGTCGCAGTCTTATAATTTTTACCAGGTATGATACAAGATAAGCTTATCACGTTTATTTGTTTGCTTTATGTCCCTTTGAGAATGCTTTGCTCTTACCTGATCACCATCAGTTGTTGAGGAAGAACAGTGAGATATATCTTTTATTGTTCTTCTTTGACAGTGATTCACCTCAGTATTTTTTCGCGGTTTGACACACGGTACAAAATCTCTATTTTGGGTTCAGTTCTTTTGCATGTAAAATATTTTACTAGACTAAGTAAAAGGAAGTAGAAAATTCATATTGAAAATAACGGAACTGAGACCAAATTTTACAATTTATATGTATCGAACTTTAAAGGAGGTGTATCATTTCATCCCTAGTGTCTTGACCGTTAGATTTAATACCATTAACAGTTGCAGATACCAAATTAGAAAATAGGTTACATGTATTCCCTTGTAAATTTGCAAACCTGAAACAGAAAAGGCGAAAATGTATGGCTGGATCATGAATCTAACCTGAAATGGCTGTGTTACTAGTCAGGTGCTTGACCCACTAAGCTATCCGGGCTTATATTCTCAACCCAGACCATTACATTCCTCCCTCCAGTGGGTGGTCATGGCACCAATTCTGACCATAATACACAAGTGTTTCATTTCAATTCAATTACCATAATATTCATTGAAAATTATTGTCACTGTAGATAACTTCTTTTGACATGGTAATAGCAAATTTGTGCATTATTTACAGGACTCAAGGAACTGCATTGTATCTATAAAGGCCAAACCAGAGCACCAGATCACAGTCAGTTTAGATGTCCTTGACATTGATGCTAACCATGGCCCTGTTAACGAAGATGGCATTCCATCCTACTGCAAAGATTTTCTGAAACTTTTTAATGGTTTGTCATATTATTCGAAATACGTGTTAACCAGATTAAGTTTCTCACTCGATCCAACTCGCAATTTCAAATTTATTTGGCACTTTTCCCCTTTGTAGGGCCCCGTGTTGACAATGCCAGACTGATCCCTGGATTTCCCCCTGGAGGTCTGTGTGGGAAAATAAGATCCTCAGCAGATTTCCCCAATCTCAGATCTTTCAAAACTACACAGAATGAACTGACTGTACAGTTTGTTACTGACAATAAAAAAGACAGCAAAATCGGATTCACGCTCCGGATAAGGCAGATTCCATACTCCAATCCGGGGAATCTGTATCCAGATGGCAGTAATCCTGGTGGTATGTTAAACTATCTGCAATAATGTACATTGTACTAGCCCTCTCAGATTTTGTTTATCTTAAACCTCAGCCTCTCCCATTCAAAAAGAAACAGAAAAACAAACAAACAACAACAGAGGTCTAGAGGTCTATATTATTGCAGCTAATATTGAATATGATTGGAGATTTTTATTCTAATTTTATTTTTTATTTATTACAACTGTTATTACTGTAAGACAGGGGGATTATCTTTTATTTACTGTAGATCACTTAATTTTCGCGACACCTTATTTTCGCGTAATAGTCATTGACTCTTTATTAGCGAGACAAATTTTTCACTAATTGTGGTCATTGCTCTATATAATCTTAAGGAATTCTGTAATATGCGAGAATGAAATTTTCGCTAGCATTCCATCTCGCGTAATTACGCGAAAATAAAGTTCTCGCGAATATAAAGTGATTAACAGTATTGATTTATTTCATAGATCACAATTATCAACAAAATTTAGTCCCATTCAAAATTGCTTATCTATTTATTGAATAAGGTTACTTAAGAAAAAGATATTAAATGTGAACAAAACCTTTTAAATGTCTTGAATAATTAATAAAATTTTATCCCCTACATAAATTTTTGCTGCTACAGTATATTGCAGGAAAAAGAAAATGGTTAAGGCCAATCTTAAGGGAAACAATGCCATTAAAAACTGCATAAAATTTCTCTTAAATGATAAATTCTAGTGTCAAATTAGAGAAAGATTGTTTGAAGAATTATACCTTTTTTCTGAACTTTCCTCATAGGTTGGAGTGATGGCTCTTTCAATGAGTTCCAGAATAACTGGGATGAGCAGATTGTGATCCCTGGGGGACAGGGTCCAGGCAGTGGGAATGACTACGACAAAGAAACCAACGGTCTGACCTGCTACTCCTGTAGCTACTGTAATGTGGAACCATTCAAACCCGAGGACTCGGGGGTAGGAACAGAGACGGGGTGTCATGTCTGCTCCAAGGAGTGGGACGATGGTAGGTTTAGTGATATTCCAGAAAAAAATCTTTGTTCAAGTTATTACATTGAGGAGAGCTTTATCTGAATTTTTAAAAATTGAATTAGTCCTTTTACTTCTTTAGTAAAAAATTGGCAACAAGACTCAGTCTTCAAGAGGGTCACTTGTGAATGATATGATCTTTAATTTTGGTAACTAAAAGTGATGTAGAACAAATATTAAGTAATTGTCAAGATATTATGAGTTATGTCCCCCTTTCATATTGAAAATTGAAAACCTCAGGGTTTTTTTTTTTGTATTCAATATATAAATTTAAGCACTGATTTACAATTGAATAACTACATGTGACAATGAATCCAAGATATTATTAGGGCCCCGCTCGGCGGGTGCCCTATAGTGATCAGTCTGTCCGTCCGTCCAGCTGTCCGTCCGTCAGTCCGTCCGAGATCTCTTGTCCGGAGCATATATTCTCTCCCTTTGGCCCAATCTGGCTCATACTTCACCCACAAAGTGTCCTTGGAAAACCAGTGTGCAGTGACCTTGAACCATGTTTCTAGGTCAAAGGTCAAGGTCATAGCAATATTGTGTGTAAAATCATTGTCTGGAGCATATCTTCTCTCCTCTTGACCCAAACTGGCTCATACTTCACCCAAAGAGTGCCCTTGGGTAACCGGTGTGCAGTGACCTTGAACCATGTTTCTAGGTCAAAGGTCAAGGTCATAGCAGAATTGTGTGAAAAATCCTTGTCCGGAGCATATCTTCTCTCCCCTTGGCCCAATCTGGCTCATACTTCACCCAAAGAGTGCCCTTGGGAAACCGATTTGCATAGACCTTGAACCATGTTTCTAGGTCAAAGGTCAAGGTCATAGCACACTTGTATGAAAAATCCTTGTTTGGAGCATATCTTTTCTCTCCTTGGCCCAATCTTGCTCATACTTCACCTACAGAGTGCCTTTGGGTAATCGGTGTGCAGTGACCTTGAACCATGTTTCTAGGTCAAAGGTCAAGGTCATAGCAGAATTATATGAAAAATCCTTGTTTGAAGCATATCTTCTCTCTCCTTGGCCCAATCTGGCTCATATTTCACTCACAGAGTGCCACTGGTCAATGGATGTGCAGTGATTTTAATTGGTCAAACTTTCTAGGTCATGGTCAGAATTAGCCTCTATGTTTAAAATCTTTGTTTGGTGCATAATTTTTCTCCTTAAAGTAAATTTATATAACTGAGGATACAGGATAACTTTGATATATATATATATATCTGTAAAATTGCAGTATCTGTGAAGTCGTAATAAATTACTTTCACTGTAGTACACAAATGTTCCTCTTCATCTTTAACCTTACATTTTCATGTTCATTGTTGAAAGCGGGGCCCTTTGAGATGGTCACCATCTCAATGATATCTAGTTTTAACTTGTTTTGAGATAACTTTGAACATTTGACTGTATACACTGTATAATTATCAGGGTTTTCCCTAAGAGCCGGCTACAGACCAAATTGACTGCTTCAGTTGACAAAAATGCCGCTTTAAAGTAAAAATTTATTGGATGGTCCACGGAGAATTTGTTCATAAATCTCAGCCCCTAGCCTGTTACAACTGATCACTAACCCTCTACTTTTAAATAAAGGGAATTTCAAAACACAAAATATGCAAATAATAATAATTGAAATCAAACAAATGTAAAAAGAATAGTCGCTCAACATTTATCTTGCATTAAAATAACCAGATGTGTCATCGACTGCTTGAATGAGCCAATAAAATCAAATATTAGGATAAGTGTTATTTTGATTACATTAATATTTGTCTTTTCTGTAATCTTTCTTCATTTTATTTTGTAGAATATCAGGTTGCCAGAAGAAAATGTTACTCCCAGATTGAGTATTATAGAGTGCTACAAAGCCTGGGAACAGGTTATTATCACTTTTTTTCTTTTATCAGAATGGTCTTGTTGTACTGTGAGATCACAAATTAATGGGGGGGGGGGCAGGGGGAGTAATTTTTGTTGCTTTTCAAGATAAAAAATTACCCAAAATTCATGTCCTCCATGAAATGTAAAATGTTAACATACTCAACAATTCATCGTCCACAAAACAAGTTTTTCAATAAACCACAAAAACTTGATCCCATGAAAATATGTGATTTTACAGTATAAGAGAGATTCCCCTAAGATTAACAAATATTGAAAAATTTAATTCAGATACAGAATAGAATGTGA